CTCGTCACCTAGGCGACTTGCTGCCCTGGTGACACAGTCACTGGTAATATAAACCAGGTTCATGGTTTCGAGTGCAGTCTCAAGCTTCTCCTCTTAGGCGTTGAAAGAAATTGTTCCTCGTGATCTGCTTGTCGCATTGAAAATGACATTTTCGTGAGATGTTAACATTTCTCTCCTGTGCTGCCATCTGTCGTAATCCACGGTCGCGTTGCAGGCATAATTATTTATCAACACAAACAGACGACTGCACTGAATTATGATTGCCTTGTATTTGTATCTCATCGCTGTCCCACTGGGACATGTCCACCTGAAGCCATTATACTGTCACCAACAAGACTGGCCAAACCCAGCTGTCGTCTGCTGTAGAGTCGACTATGCCAAGTATGTTGTCGCCCAGACTCGTATCCTTTAGAGCCACAGTGTCGTTGTTGTATGTCCGGCGTTCCAGGATAGAACTTGGTTGTTTTCCGCTGACACAGTTCCAGTTCAAAATACGAATTTTTCGGAAACTAAAAGGGGTGCATTTGAGCCCAATTCTTCTTGCTCCGGCGCGTTTACCCCGCGGCTTTGGGCGACCCTGTCGAATTCCAGGTGTGTTTGCTTTATGTACGAGGCACAAACTCTGTTCCGCCATTATGAAAACACACAGTACACAGTATCGATAACCACACACGCTGAAAGACAAACTCAAAGAATGGTTTCGCACAGATGCACGAACTCCGTAGCACTGGGACAGTCTTGAGAAAATATCCTTGTGTCCACCCTGGCACAGATAATTACATGATAGAGATAAAAACTATCCATCTAGGCACGAAAGTCACGCGGTCATGAAAAAACCACCACTGGCCGCCGCCATTGTTGACCGTACGTGGGCATGAGAAACCACCACTGGCCGCCGCCATTGTTGACTGGAGTCTTACATTTGTTGACTCTGAGATGTGACTTGCAGCACTATGAACCTGTCTGTACAAGTCGGCACTGCTCGTGTATATCGCATAGATACTCCCGGGATCTCTCTTGTGCATCCAATAATTCCACTCACAGCCTTGTTCTATATGGGTTCCAGTTTCATCAGCTGACTCTGGGATGATGCTGTCCTTGGATTCTAACTGGACCTGCGTGAACGTAGTTTCTAACTTCTATCATCTTGTTAAATGAGTTATAACACAACGATGTAAACCACACCCACGGAATGTTTATTGCCCTTCTAACAACAATGCAGTCCAGTCGGCAGTCTCGTTACCTAGTCGTCATAAAACTAGATGACACAAAGTATGGCAGACAACATCATTTGCTGAGCACACAAGTATTTAGTCTTCAGTCAAGGCTTCTCATTTTAACGAACATGCCGTGACGTAGATTTGGCAACCGCTCGTTGTCATGGATTCAACACTACAGCCATCCACTTGCTTTCGCGACGACAAAACAACAACAACAACAACAACAACTGCCGTTCTCTCATATACCCTTCCAACCCTTTGTTCACTCTGCACGGAGTGACTTTCGTTTATTTGGTGTAGCCCATTTTCTCACTGGCCTGTCACTCATACGGGGGGTTCCTGGGAATCCCCTCGTTACAGACACTTTAATATGGTGAGTATTCGAAGTCCATATTGTATCATTGACAGGATCATATGATTGAATATCGTGTACTGCATTCTTTGTTCCATGTCCATTGCTGCCATAACGGTGAGAGCAATTAGTTCCCTTTGGCATATCGCCGCAACTGACTGGGCTGACTTTCTACCCACCAGGACATCACACAAGCGATAAACACCCGATGATGCAATGTGCCACCATGTGGGTGAGGATCACCGTGGAGACGTCCCAGAAACCGCGTTTAGCCTTTAGGCCATATTTATGGCCAGGCTATTTTGCGGCCTCTGGCAAAAGCCAGAGTAGGGCTTCAAATAACGAATCATTTCATCCTAACCAGGACGAGAAGTTTTTTTTTTTTTTAATAGTTAACAACTGTCTTCACGATGGTCTGTGAGAACTGAGAGGATTTAAATGGTCACCTTGATGAATTCGTTCGGAAAGGTGCTGGAAAAGATCGTTGCACTAAACAAGTACACATTTGTGGAAAAGGTGTAGCTATCTTGCGGTGCAATATTCTCTTTGGTGCCCTGCAAATGAATCTAATTCTGTCTTGAATTCCAGGCCCAGGATGAAGAAAACTCACCTTGTCATTCATGCTTCCTTAGTTCGCTGGACCTCTCATAAGTTGTGGGGGAAAGTCCCGTTTTCCTTATTGTGAACGGTGCAATAATTGCCTCTGTTTCCGTCCTATTCATCCGCCCTCGTTTGCGTGATTATTTTCGCCTTCTTTTACTCGCGCAACATTTCGGGAGTATGGAAACAGCGATATGTGTATTTTTCATACGCTCCTTGTAACTGCTTTTTTCTCTCTCGGGGTTGGGGTGGGGTGGGGGAGGGGGGGGGGGAACACAACGAACGTAAAAATACAAAACTATCCCATTTTTGATAGCTAAGAATAGTTGCACCTGCGGCGCTTTTCCCTGCAGTATTTCTTACTTGAAAGGCGCCGGCAGAGCCTGAAATAGACTCACAACAAAACAAACTCCCACAAATATTACAGACGCCGAGCGAACACCAAGCCAAGCCATATCATAACACTCCCGCCACATTAGAGAGGTCCAAGGACCTAAAGAGGCACGAATGGCATGGCAAGTTACTTTAATCCTGGGCCGGAAAACGTGAACAGGTCCCTTGTCTGTCCTAAAGTATTCCTCTCTTCTGCTGTCCTGTGGTACAGTCCTCTCTTCTTTTGTCTATCCTTCAATACAGTACTTCGTTCCGTTGTCTGTCTTACAGTCCAGTCCTTTCCTAGGTTGTGTGTCCGGCAGTACAGTCACCTCTTTGGTTGTCTGTCATATAATACAATATGTTCTTCTCTAGGCTATCTAATGTTGCTACTGACTGACGTTCAGCTCCACAGGACAGCACAGCAAGAATGTAATCTTTGTCAGCAAGAAACAAACGCCGGCGACACAAAGTGCTACAAAGTGCATCACCCCGAGACAGGTTTCATACATCCTGTTCAACACATAGCTTGGGTTATATTTGGCTGCCAGCCGTGGGGTTTTACAAAAACGCCTCCAACAATGAGACGCATTTGATTTCTTTCATGTGTTGCTGGTGACACGGTAATTGTTAGCACTGATATGTTTCCATGACTCTTCTAGTCATACATTTACCTTCATACACGTCTAGAATTCTTCAGTACACTGTTTACCTATCATAAAACCACCAACATGTCTTTAGCTTGAGACGGACACATTTTTTGTAACGGAATCATCAAACATTGGTGGGCGATTTACTGAAAAACAACTTGTGTATTTCTCTTCACCAGGATTATCTGAGGGAGACACGACCAACAGTGTGGAGATAGTCATTTGGGTTGCTATGTTTATCACTGTCATTCTGGTGTTTATTGCTACAGTCGTGCTGTGTATGCTTCAAAGAAAAAAGCCACCTAAGAGAAAGTCGACTGCCAAAGGTAAAAGCATCCTAAAGTGTGTTTCCTGTCTGCTCCGGGGTGGGTCAACTGTTGTCTGTCTGTACGTGGGACGTGTAGTTAGAATGCAGCCTGCTTACACAGGCTCAAACTACTGGTGCTGGGAGTTATCTCCCTCTCGGCAGACTGGGACAATAATATTTACAGCAACATCACTGAGGGCGCAATATGGACACATCCCGCTAATGAACATGTCAACTTAGTGAGTGAGTGAGTGAGTGAGTGAGTGACGTTCACTCCTACCAGGATGTCGCTACTAGCTACCATCACCCGGTGACACAAAGTGCCCCCATTCATGTTTTCATTATTTTGCAGTGTGTCTGTCGTGTTTTGTTTAGTATTTGATCACCAGGACTGAATGCTTGTTGTTTATGTTTTCATGATTCACGAGACTAGACAGTTAACAAAATACTTGTGTAAGTGCTGCAGTGAGTACGCAACAGCTGGTTTCTGTTTCCAACAAACAAGCACTTACTGGGTGTTGTTTGCTGGGAGGAGAGCGAAGTGACTAGTATGCTATATCCACTTTGCTTTTCAACAGTACCAGGCGTCAAGGCGTGATCGCCTACCCCATTTTTTATGACACTGGATGATGATGAAGATGATCGCAGAGACGAGTGCAAAAGGTCCACACGGTTGAATTGAGAGACAGGCTTTCTTGAGATTAACGGCTAGCAGCGATTGTGAGACGGAGGTGTGACTGGCAGGTAAAGAACCCGAAGGTTGGCCATAACGTGAGATCCACGTGCAACCACGGTTGGGAAGAGACCCGAAGTAGTTGAATAGTCAGCCCCCTTAGTCTGTAAGAGTGTGATTTGAGTAGCAATCATGTGAATTATTTTATTCTGGTGCAAGCTTAGATTTTTCAGAAGAACTTGGTGTATAATTCGGAATGCTCCAGTTGAGTTTTTTTAATAGGGGCAAGGCGAGGAGAGCCCAACCCTTATATTCCTATTACAAGGACTGATCGTTACTTTTCGGATTCTGACTTGCAGGAAATTTGGTGTGCCGGGGGCAGGGAGACTTGGTGTGCCGGGGGCAGGGAGACTTGGTGTGCCGGGGGCAGGGAGACTTGGTGTGCCAGAGGCAGGGAGACTTGGTGTGCCGGGGGCAGGGTCTCTGTCAGTTCTGGTGTAGGGACTCTAACTGCCACTGTGTGTGCGGGAGATTTGGTGTGTCAGGAAACTTTGTGTGCCGGGAGAAGGGAGACTTGGTGTGCCGGGGGCAGGGAGATTTGGTGTGCCGGGGGCAGGGAGACTTGGTGTGACGGGGGCAGGGAGACTTGATGTGCCGGGGGCAGGGAGACTTGGTGTGCCAGAGGCAGGGAGACTTGGTGTGACGGGGGCAGGGAGACTTGGTGTGCCGGGGCAGGGAGACTTGGTGTGCCAGAGGCAGGGAGACTTGGTGTGCCGGGGGCAGGGAGACTTGGTGTGCCAGGGGCAGGGTCTCTTGTCAGTTCTGGTGTAGGGACTCTGAATGCGACAGTGTGTCGGGAGATTTGGTGTGTCGGGAGATTTGGTGTATCGGGAGATTTGGTGTGTCGGGAGATTTGGTGTGTCGGGAGATTTGGTGGGCTGGGGGCAATGTCTCTAGTCAGTTATTATGTATAGGTTATTGGTGACCCAAAGTGTGTGCACATAACCCAGAAGATTATTAAAAGCTACTGGTGACTCTAGGAATGGACTCGTAGGCCTTAAGTGTTGATGTTGTTTACTCGGGTCAAGTCGAGACTAGGTGTTCCCCTTAAAGGTGACACCGCCTTGGAGGCAGATCGGTGAGTAACTTGGGGTAGTATTAGACGGACAGCAGCTCGGTAATCACCAATTCACTTTCATCGTCATACTGTGTTTTGTCCCGACAAATAGACTTGATGCACGATTATAGAGAGGACTTTTAACGTGTTGTTGACGGTTATCGGTGTTAGTCGTACGATGTGATTATGTGAACAGTGTTAGTTCAGCACTGTCCTGTGAGAACCCAGTTAGTCGCCAGACGGTCGACATGGTAACTCTTTTTATGGATCTGATAGTGAAAACCTAGTTAGTCTCAAGGAGGTCGAGATGGGAACTGTTTTCATGGATGTGCTAGTGGGAGCCTAGTTAGTCTCAAGGAGGTCGACATCGGAACTGTTTTCATGGATCGGCTAGTGGGAACCTAGTTAGTCTCAAGGAAGTCGACATGGAAACTGTTTTCATGGATCTGCTAGTGGGAACCTAGTTAGTCTCAAGGAGGTCGACATGGGAACTGTTTTCATGGATCTGCTAGTGGGAACCTAGTTAGTCTCAAGGAGGTCGACATGGAAACTGTTTTCATGGATCTGCTAGTGGGAACCTAGTTAGTTTCAAGGACGTCGACATGGGAACTGTTTTCATGGATCTGCTAGTGGGAACCTAGTTAGTCTCAAGGAGGTCGACATGGGTACTGTTTTCATGGATCGGCTAGTGGGAACCTAGTTAGTCTCAAGGAGGTCGACATTGGAACTGTTTTCATGGTTCTGCAAGTGGGAACCTAGTTAGTCTCAAAGAGGTCGACATGGGAACTGTTTTCATGGTTCTGCTAGTGGGAACCTAGTTAGTCTCAAAGAGGTCGACATGGGAACTGTTTTCATGGATCTGCTAGTGGGAACATAGATAGTCTCAAAGAGGTCGACATGGGAAATGTTTATATGGATCTGCTAGTGGGAGCATAGAAAGTCTCAAAGAGGTCGACATGGGAACTGTTTTCATGGATCTGCTAGTGGGAACATAGATAGTCTCAAGGAGGTCGACATGGGAACTGTTTTCATGGATCTGCTAGTGGGAACCCAATAGTCGCTCCTAAAATTCTTTCGTCAAAGAAAGGCGGAGGCAAATCGTGACCGGAAGAGAAGATGCTAGACAGTTTGACCGTGGAAGCATGTGTTTGTTGTGATGGCTAAGGATGTGTTGATAATTACAACATTTGTTCATTCGCTGAAAATCTATAGGCACCGATGAAACAGACCTATAGAATACTAATGAGCAGCCGACATACATTGTTAGTTATATTATGTCGTGTATGCCTCTCATATAAACGAAATGCGAGGAACGGTTGATTTAGTTGTCAGTCTCATGCTCATGTTTTCTTTCATCTTCCTGTAGCTATTAAACTGGACGAGACTAAGACTCCGCAGGAAGAGCATAAGAGGTAAAGGGGTTGAGCTGTTCATCATCATCATCATCAACAACCTTTTTCTTTTTCCTTTTTTCTACTTGTTTTTGTTGTTGGTGTTGTTCTAGTTGTTGTTGTTGTTGTTGTTGTTGTTGTTGTTGTTGTTGTTGTTGTTGTTGTTGTTGTTCTTCTTCTTCTTCTTCTTCTTTTTCTTTTTCTTTTTCTTCTTCTTCTTCTTCTTCTTCTTCTTCTTCTTCTTCTTCTTCTTCTTCTTCTTCTTCTTCTTCTTCTTCTTCTTCTTCTTCTTCTTCTTCTTCTTCTTCTTCTTCTTCTTCTTCTTCTTCTTTTTCTTCTTCTTCTTCTTCTTCTTCTTCTTCTTCTTCTTCTTCTTCTTCTTCTTCTCCCCCCCCCCTCCTCCTCCATCTCTTGCTCCATCTCCTCATCCTCGTCCTCCATCTCCTGCACCTCCTCCGTGTTTCCAAATATTAAATTGATGTCTACAGAAGAAATGTATTATATGCTGCTGTAGTTAATGTCTAGCCGGGACTGATGATTATTTTGGTCTTTGATTTTACTTTGACGCTGTCCAATAACTTGGTAGGAGCTTATCATCTAACTATTCTCTTTAACAGCAATATTATCATCTAACTATTCTCCTCAACTCAACAGCAAATGCTAGTTTTTACTGTGTGATATCTCCCAATTTATTCTGGCATTTCTACTTTCTAAACTTTGAAACCATCAGGAGTGCGCAGATATTTGAATATCTCTATGCAGTAAACAGATCATACAGTGGAACCTCGCTTAACGAGCATAATCGTTCTAGAATCATACTTGTTAAGCGAAATACTCGTTATACGAAACCATTTTTCTCATTTAAATTAATGTAAAATACGATAATGTGTTCCATGTCAAAAACAAAAAAAAAAAAAACTAACAAAATGCTATGTATAACGTTTATTCAAAGAAAATTATATACATATTGTTAAGGACAGTGAATCATCTTCATCTTTTCTTCAAACGCGGAACGAACCCACTTGGAGTGCAAATTCGATTTGTCGCATAATTCGATTTGCAGAAAAAAAAAAGTCGAAATAATTATGATACATAGCTAATTATTTTTTTTACTTGAAAGGTGCCCAGAGACATTAGTTTTTGCCGACGCTTCAACATTTAGCGAAAATGCGACAATACATTATCAATAAATAAATTTGCAACGCGCATAGCCACTTCCTTATTAGGGTGATGCTTCTCAATATAAGATGCAACAGTTTGCCATGCTTTCAGCATTTCTCTTATTTCGCCGGAAGATTGTTGCTTTTCTGTTACCTCCTCCTCTGACAAACTTTGCTCCAAAATTTCTTGCTGTGAAAAACACAATGCAACTCCATAAGCTCTTGGGTGGTCAGCTCTTTGCTGTGCTCTTCCACAAGCTCTTCGATATCACTGTTATCCATCCACAATTCCATGATAGTGGCCACAGACACAATCTCGTTGACTAAAGGTTTCAGAGGTACTGTCTCGAATCCTTCAAAGTCACAAATCGACAACGCTCTCCGGCCAAAGCTTCTTCCAAGCAGAAGTTAGGGTTCTCTTGACAACCCCCTCCCCCGCTTTGTCTATCATCTTGAGGCAGGCAACGATGTGGAAGTGATTTTTTCAAAAGAGTGAGGCTGGTCCCTTCAGTCACCCGAAAACAATGCTCGAAGAATGCTTTAGTATAGAGCTTCTAAAAGTTATAAATAACTTGCTGGTCAACGGGCTGAAGTAACGGAGTGGTGGTGTTGGGAGGCAGAAACTGGATCTTGATGAACTTAAATTCTTCAGAGATCATCTTGTAGGCCTGGAGGATTCATGTACATTTATCACAATAAGTCACAAGTTCGAGAAAATGTGTGATTACAAGCGACACTACTATGCTACTGGAACGAGTGCTAAACACAGACTGATGTAACATGCGCACAATCCAGGACTTCCCCTCTCCTCGCCAGTTGTTATGCGAAACGTCACTCATTAACCAAGTCATTTTTTTACAATTTGTTTTGCTCGTTATGCGAATTACTCGTTATGAAAGGTGCTCGTTAAGCGAGGTTCTCCTGTAATTGATTTAATAACACCGACAGGCCAGCTATCTGTACAGTTTGCTTGTTTGTGTGTTCTACGTGTATGTGGCTGTGTGTTTGCATGCGTGTGTGTTTGTATGTGTGTGTCTTTGTTGTGTTTGTGTGTGTTTTTTTTAATGTGCCTGTGTGTGTGTATATGTGTCTGCGTGAATGTCTGTGTATATGCGCGTCTCTGTGTGTATATATCTGTGTATGTCGCTGTGTGTGTCTGTGCGTATATGTCTGTGTGTGTTTATCTAAGTGTATATCTGGGCGTAGTGTCTCTGGATGTGTCTACATGTGTGTGTATGTGTGTCTGCGTGTGTATCTGTGTGTGCCTGTGTATATGTATGCCTGCGTATGTGTTTCCGTTTGTGTGTCTGCGTGTCTGCGTGTATCTGTGCGTGTGCCTGTGTGTATGAATGTCTGCATATGCTTCTGCGTGTGTGTGTCTGTGGTTGTGTGTATGTATCTGCGTGAGGATCAGCTTGTGTGTGTGTGTCTGTGATTGTGTGTGTTTGTGCGTCTCCGAGTGTGTCTGTGTGCGTGTATCTGTGTGTGTTTGTGTCTGCGTGTGTATGTGCATATGTGACTGTGTGTGTCTGCGTGTGTGTATGTCGGTTTGTGTGTGTGTGTGTGTGTCGCATGTGTTTGTCTGTGTGTGTGTGTGATTAGGTATGTGCGCGTATGTCTTTGTGTGTGTGTTTCTGCATTTGTTTATATGGGGGTGTCTGTGTGTGTATATCTGTATGTTTGTATGTGTATGAAATGTGCGTGTCTGTGTGGGTATGTAGGTATGTATGTGTGTGAATGGGGTGTGTTTATGTGTGTCTGAAGGTATGCGGGTGTGTTTAAGTGAGTAGGTGGGTGGGTGTTTGTGTGTGTGCATGCATTTTACCACACATGCTTTTGTGCTTTTTTTTCGTTTTTCCAATTTTTTAAAATATTCATAATATGCATATTATCATATGAATATAACATGCTTTTTGATAAAATACAGTTGCAGTGTGAAAGGGGTGTTTTGAAGGGCCGAATGTAAGACGGGCCTGCGTGCCCAATTTGTGACCCTTTGAAAATAAAGTTCGTTCGTTCGTTCGTACAGGCTCGCCAGAGTGAGACATTATATTACTTTAACAAGAAACACATTGATGTCTAACGTGTTTGTGTTTTGCAGCCGTGCATCAGATTCTTTATGGATTACAGAAGAGCGTGTAGAGACTAAACGAGAAAGGTACAGTTCAGTTTTAATATTATTATTAAGCTCAGTCATTTCTTCTTTTTCTTCTTCTTCTTCTTCTTCTTTTTCTTCTTCTTCTTCTTCTTCTTCTTCTTCTTCTTCTTCTTCTTCTTCTTCTTCTTCTTCTTCTTCTTCTTCTTCTTCTTCTTCTTCTTCTTGTTCTTCTTCTTCTTCTTCTTCTTTTTTTTCCTTCGTTGTCTTCTTTTTTTTTGTCGCATAATTTTTATAGTATTACTGTTATTATTACTACTGCTCTCTACTGCTCTTTCCCCACGAAGTTGCTAACCTGTGTTATCATAAATGTAGTTTGTTGTCCGCACATAAGTTTTAAGGTGTTTCCTTTCTGGTGAAGAACTGCGGGGCTGTGGGGTCAGGAGAAAGGAGGTGGTGGGAGTGGGTAGGGACAGGTTAATGCGTTGGGTAGACAGTCGTTAACGAAGGTTACACAAGGATTACCTTTGGTTTATGGCCGTTACATTTGATGACATTAGCGCTATCCTATGTAAAGTATAATTTTAAGTTATGAACGTATTTTTGTTTTCCTATTTTTTTTTTCAGTCTAGAGTTGAGCGAACATAGCAGTGGAACAAGTTTTGTGTAGTCTTCTATGCATTTAATTACAGCTGAAAACTAAGGTAGTCTTCTTTTAATTTGTCTGTCTATAGCTAATATTTCGTGTCAGGTTTAATTTCTGTTGACCACCACACATTTGCTAACGCTGCGAGAGATTCTCCAAATATGTTTATTGTCACTGACATTTTCGTATTGTCTATGTAAGTACATTAAATTTTGAATGTAGTGATGTTTGTGCACCTTGACGTATGTTTCATCACAAGAGAATGTGTCTTTTTTTTTTTCGCATTTTTTTTCCATTTGCTTTGTCGCTGGGTCGGCTCTGTGGCTAAGTCGATGCGAACGCTTCGTAATGCCGGGGTACCGGGTTCGATCCCAGCTGCGGGCCATATGCCTTGCGTTGGTTTCAACAGTGGTATCAGGTAGCCGACCGTCCAGAGGCAATGGCAAACTGCTGGACGTAAATTAGCCTATTGAAACCACACAACAGCCAGGATTGATGGGGTTGGTTCTGCAACGTCCTGTAAAGGAAACGCAAAGAATCTTAATCTTTGTTACTGGCTTGGTATTTGTTTTTTTACATGCTCTGTTTGTGTGACATCCCATCGTATATATACGTCAATTATTTTCTTTCGTTATTGTGTGTGTGTGTGTGTGTGTGTGGGGGGGGGGTGAGGGGAAGCATGGAAGTAATGTTTTCATAGACCAGCGATAAACTCACTCGGAATTTGATGAATTTCATTTCTAGTTGAAAGTAGTCATAACAATAATGATAAATAGCATCCCGGACATACTTCTTTTCCGAATTTGAATTTATCTATCAGTTGTCTGTCACAAAGAACGCCTCATTCAATCTCTATACATGTTGTTGGTTTCAAGCCAACGAGTTCTGTTGGGTCCGAAAGTCTTTCATTAATGTTTGGAGAAATGCTCAATGATCAGCAGCATGTCTGTTCATCATTCACTAGTTTGCCAATGACATCTACCTCTTGGCTTTAAGGTTTCAGGTTATGAACTACGGATCAACATCACGACATACCGGTAGTAACCCATAAGTGCATGTTCTTCTTCTAATTCAAGCCTGAGTCCAAAGAATCTCAGCACAGTGAACATGCAGTGTAGCACCAGCCAGGATCCTGACATTCTTTGGATAGATTTTCAACTCTAAACTTTGCCCGGACAGCGTCGTTAGTCTACTTTTTTCCATTTCCAACTGCTAAAACATTTTTTTACGTGCGCAACAACGGACACAGGCGTTCGATCTCACTACCCAGAGACCAGAAAAAAAGGGAGGGGGGGGGGAGAGAGAGAGAGAGAGAGAGAGAGAGAGAGAGAGAGAGAGAGAGAGAGAGAGAGAGAGAGAGAGAGAGAGAGAGATTTACTAGTAGTGCAAGTCAACGTGAAAAAATCCCAGCCCTTACCGGGAATTGAACCCTGAACCTCTAGCTCTTAGGCGGACATCATGCTTCGCGACAACCCCTGCCCGGCTTATCTTGCCCAACAGGTACACATGGAATAGCAAAAACAACAACTTTTTCTTGGAATGTGTACTCTGCTTCTCCTCCTTTTGCCAGTCACACGGTAAACTTAGTACTTCGCTGGTATTTCTGTAACCAGTCAAAGTCTGTCAGTGTTTCATGTGCGCAACTACACTGGCTTCACCAGCTTATGTTGTGATACCATCAGAAGAGGAAGCCGGCCAGTCTTGAAGCAGTTGGATAACATTTCTGATTTCTCCTAATGATGTTTTTCGCTTGTAATATCCAGGTCTATAGAATTCTGTCTCAGTATCTGGAGTATATTTTGTACATATCTATTGACAGATTCCTGATAGCTTGGGCCCCATGTTTATCTGTCCAGCGGGTTGCTCATAGTCTCCTAGTGATTTTCCTGCTGATATACCTATATAAAACAAGCACCCCCGGCACCTTCGACGGGGAAACAGTGTAAATCATCAACTGTATTGACACACTGCGAGGATGACTCAACAATATTCTTAGCTGGAATTTGCTGTGGTTGTGTGCCTGCATACTAGTCGTTGTTTGGCTGAATGAAGCAGTTGTTGTTTGATGTGAGGAGGGACTGGCTGAACAGTAGAACACTGTGCTTTCGAGCGGGAGACCCAGGTTCGATCCTCAGTAAAGCTGGGGATTGTTTTCTGTCAAAATAAAATTCGCATCTGCACAGTCGTGGCGACAGCACTAGTGATGCGGCCGTAAATCATCAGGTTTAAAGACATCCTGCCGACACCACAAAAGTGGCGTAATAAAGGCAGAGATTGGCTGGTGTTTCTTAAAGTTATGATCATTTATTGTAGTATAGTTGACGTATGCGAACAGTCTTTGTCATGTCTCTCAGTTCTCTTGTGTGTTTTTATAATACTAAGATCCTATTCTGTCACCGCCTAAATTATTACTACCTACTCATTAAAATTGTTTTGGAAAATGGGAAATTTGTTGCAGCCATTGCCGTAGTAGCAGGGATGGAGATTTCTGGAAGTGAAATAACCATGTTCATGTATGAGCTGCAATGGAACAGTTTAAGTTAGCGTTTACTAGACCTGGAGGTTTGGCTCAGGACTGTGCTCTCTCTCTCAATGTGGATTACTTCTATCATTGTCTACATGGATGCGACAATTGATTGCTACACGTCACCGATTCGTTGATACTCATGAGCTTTTACGGCTAGATTTTTAACGTTAATTTATTTTTGATATGATTTTTTTTTTCAAGTTTTAATTTAGAGCTATTTATTTTGAGTTAATAATGTTCCACTATTTTTTCCCCGAGCGCTTATAAAGCACTAACAACAATGGTTGGATCGAAAGTATTTGCTATAACTCGGACTTCTGTGTTTAGGTGTTGTTTTTCCATCAGTTACCTTGGTTGTTTTGATACCGTGTTGTGGAAGGCATTTCTAATAAAATGGTTTCAGGTGGAAGTGCATTAACTTGTGATTTATTTGCAGTTGATCAGGCCTCTGGTATAAGTATTGGTTGTCTACATCAGTTGACATATTGTGTCACGTGCTGACTGAGCCTTTAACCGTTGAATGTTTAAAACCTGCTTTGACCCTTTTGTGGATGTCTAAAGCTTTGATTTGCTGGTGCATGGCTGATTGATTTGTCCTGATTTGTTTGGCGCACAAGTTGTATTGACTCCGCTTGTTGTATTGACACTGCTTGTTGAATTGACTCCACTTGTTGTATTGACTCTGCTTGTTGTATTGACGTCCCTTGTTGTATTGGCTACGCTTGTTGTATTGACTTCGCTTGTTGTATTGACTCCACTTGTTGTATTGACTACACTTGTTGTATTGACTACATTTGTTGAATTGACTCCACTTGTTGTATTGACTTCACTTGTTGTATTGACTACGCTTGTTGTATTGACCCCACTTGTTGTATTGACCCCACTTGTTGTATTGACTACATTTGTTGAATTGACTCCACTTGTTGTATTGACTCCACTTGTTGTATTGACTACGCTTGTTGTATTGACCCCACTTGTTGTATTGACTCTGCAAGTTGTATTGTTTATGCAAGTTGTGTGTACTCTGCAAGTTGTATTGCCTCTGCTTGTTGTATTGACCCCACTTGTTGTATTGACACCGCTTGTTGTATACTCCTTGTCTAGATCTGGCTAGTTATGGGTATAATATCTGTCAGAAAATGTTAGGTGCTTGCAATGTTTCGGAGTTCCTGCTGTTACACCCGTCGGTGTCCCCTTTGCTTAAAAAAAAAATGAAAATAAAGAAAAATACTGGGCGAATAAAACCAACATAATCAGATTCATGATTTTGAGAAATCATGAAAGGTTTTGGCAGGAAGAAGTCAAAAACGTGTCTTATAAACAAATTCACTGTACATCGTGAAGCAATCGAGTTAGTCATCTTTTAATGTCAGTGAAAACAAAACCTGGATCAAACAGAGCTTGTGAGTCAACGCTGTAACATTTGTTGGGACACAAAAAGTAGAGAGAAGAACTAGACTATTTAATGTTCAATTAAAAAGCAGCATCACAGCACTCGGTGCATTCACATCAGCGCTCCGTCCTTATCTTCAGCAGAAAGTGCAGACTTCCAATCAGGACTGCCAACTTTTTTTTTGGGGGGAGGGGGGGGGGGGGGGGGGAGGGGGGGGGGGGGGGTGGGGGGGGGAGGTCAACAATGTTTTTTGAAAAAGAACCAAACAAAACACACCAAAAAGTATGACGTTTTTAATTTAAAAAAAAAAAATCAAAAAATGAAATATGGTCGCATTACTGAGGCTGCCTTCACTTCCCGTGATTTCACTTGACCCAATAAAGGCTAGGTTGACCTGAGAGCCAGGGTCGTTATAAAAAAGATCCGGCTGCGTAAGGACACGAACCCATGACCTATTGATCTACAGGTGAGCGGCTGGCCAGTACCCTACTGTGTTT